GTTTTCAGTAATTTTATGTGCTTTTGTCATTTTTATTTATTGCTTTTATTTAGCTTTAATGTATTCACTTTAGTTGTCAGTTTTAGCTATATAGAAATTTTAGTACTTATTATTATTTCAGTAAGTTGCCAAGTTTTTTTAAGTTTCTCCTATACTTACATATTCCTATATTTCAACTTCAACTTATATTTTTGCAATAAGTGGCCAAGTTTTTTAAGTTTTTCATTGAATATTTACATTTTATTTCAGCTTTAATTCAATTAACGATTTCAGCTTTATTTCAATTAATTAGGGTTACAAGTCTTAAAAAAAACAAACAAACCTGTTCCACTAACCTTAAAATCATTCACCATAGATTTAGCACAGATGGTGCACTGCAGTTCCCCTCCTTGTCGTTGGGAGGCTCCGTTCAGTTGGTCTGGATTTTGAGGGGCGCACTTGGCAGCTGACTGACGCCTGTGGTGAATCAGTGCGGATTCAGTCCGAAACTGATGCTCGCAAACGTCACAGGAGAAGAGCAAGATGCCCACGTGTGTGAGGGCATGAACAACAGCAGCAGCGCGGTCTGAGAAGGAGGTGCCACACACCTGACACGAACCCGTTTCCGAGAGGTGCGTCTCAGCGTGAGTTTGTATGACGGAGTTTTCCGCCAGAAGTAGCATCCCGCACGATTTGCATGGCTGCGATGACGGCAGTTGTCCGAGAGACGCCCCGTTTTCACCATTCTCAATGCACATCAAGTCCTCGTCGTCCTCTTCCTCCACAATGAAGTGCTCCTCCTCATCGCTCAACTCAATGATGTCCTCTGAAAGTGCTCGCCACTGATCGCCACCCTCCGTCTGCTCTTCCTGTAGTCGGTGCCTCTTCCTAGAAAGATCTTCCTCAAAAAAATCGGAATCTTTGATTGGTCCAGCAACGGCCCCCAGCTGCAAACTGTCCAAAGGGTCACTGGAGGATGACGAAGGGGCGCAGGTTTCACCTCCAAGCTGGGCTGAAGAATCAGGGACGGAACATTGCTCCTGAGGCCCAAATGTTGATTTGCTACCATTGACAACAAGCTGGTCCACTGAGTTACTTCCTCCATGCTCTCCTTCATCTTCCCGCTCGGTCTTGAGCTGTAAAGTCAGGCCAGGAAGAGTGTCTGTAGAACGGTTACTGTCCAAAGGACTCGGCTTGTTGGTCACCTGTTGATTGTAACCCAAATGCACCTGCAAGTCTTCGTTTTTTGGAGACTGGGTGGTCAAGTGGGAGCGATTCAACCTGCCATTCCTGCCTTGAGATACCGGAGATGGAGTTACAGGAGTGGGAGCGGCTGAAGACGACAACGAGGAGCAGGATGCTGCAGAGGACGAGCTAACAGACGCAGCCACGGCATTGACCGACACCATATCACTTTCCAAATCCCCTTCAGCAACCGGGTCTCCAGAGCTGGAGTTCTGCAGGTCAGGAAAGGTAGCATGGCAAGCGTTCACCAACTCCCTCACGCCAAGCCTTTCCGCCAACTCATACAGCACACCCACATCGATCAAGTCCGTGAAAATCTCACCCGTGTAGATAAAAGTCAAGACCTTCTCGAAATTGGCAGCAGAAACAAAGTCCAGAGAGAAGGTGGTGGGAACGGCACCCTGGTTGCTGGAACCTCTGGAGAAGAGGCTGCTAAAGTGCGTGCAAGAGCACGCCAACACCACGCGATGAGCCGGGAAGGAACGGCCTCCGACCTGGAGGACGATGTCGCACAGGACACGAGACAGGCGGCAGCGGTTGAGCTCGGAGAGGAGACGGGCCGCGTGGCCAGAGCCCTGCAGCCTGATCCGCATGCCTGGCAATTCCAACAAAAGCCAGGATTTGGACTGAAACACAGAAGTGAATGGAAAAATGGATGAGATTCAGATACATTATAATAGCAAGGTGCATATTCTGTACTTATATAAAGTTATATTAAATATAACTATACAACCTCACTGTTTGAAGTCACTATGAAACGGCATTTAGTAATGTGACAAATCTGCACGTGACTTTTAACCATCAGGAAATGATTAGATCATGAAAAGTGGTCTTTATGGCTATAGCTGGAATATCATGTTAGCATACTACTCTAAATTCTGCTGCAGTATATACAGTGTGTATCATAGTACACTGTGCACAATATTCAATTTTCTGTATGCATGGAATAATACATATGTTAAAAGCATACTACCAGTGTTGTTATTGTTAACTATAGCCTAGTGAACCAAACTGAGAGGCCATTTTGAAGGCTCAGGAAACCTTTGCAGGTGTTTTGAGTTGATTAGCTGATTGGCATGTCACCATATTCTCATTTGTTGAGATAGTGAATTGGTGGGTTTTTGTTAAATGTGAGCCAAAATCATCACAATTAAAAGAACCAAAGACTTAAACTACTTCAGTCTGTGTGCATTGAATTTATTTAATACACGAGTTTCACAATTTGAGTTGAATTACTGAAATAAATGAACTTTTCCACGACATTCTAATTTATTGAGATGCACCTGTATATATATATATATCTAATTTAAATAAAATATATTACATGAAATACTTAAATGCAAAGTAAATAAAAAAATATTGCCTTGGCAGCTAACTGAAATAAGTTATTACAATTAAATTATTATTAAAATTACTAACACTAAATGAAATAAAAATAAATATAAAAATATGAAAAACTAATAAAAATGACAAAACTTAACTAAAAATTTAAATCATTTCCAAGATGATTAGTGGACACCACTGGCTAAACTAATCATTCATGGTGTTGCGCAACAGGTATTGTGACAAATAGGTAACATTGTTGTCACATGACCTCATCACTTTGCAGGATTAATGTTTGAAATGTTTAGCATGGAATACTGCAAACAGTATGCGGTATAAATTATATACTGCACAGAATTCAGAAGGTAGTAGAGTAGTATTGTATTTTGAACACAACCGATATGACAAGCACTTGAAAAACAAGAGTACCTGGTGACCTCAGAATATATATATATATCTAATTTAAATAAAATATATTACATGAAATACTTAAATGCAAAGTAAATAAAAAAATATTGCCTTGGCAGCTAACTGAAATAAGTTATTACAATTAAATTATTATTAAAATTACTAACACTAAATGAAATAAAAATAAATATAAAAATATGAAAAACTAATAAAAATGACAAAACTTAACTAAAAATTTAAATCATTTCCAAGATGATTAGTGGACACCACTGGCTAAACTAATCATTCATGGTGTTGCGCAACAGGTATTGTGACAAATAGGTAACATTGTTGTCACATGACCTCATCACTTTGCAGGATTAATGTTTGAAATGTTTAGCATGGAATGCTGCATACTGTCTGGAATACTGCAAACAGTATGCGGTATAAATTATATACTGCACAGAATTCAGAAGGTAGTAGAGTAGTATTGTATTTTGAACACAACCGATATGACAAGCACTTGAAAAACAAGAGTACCTGGTGACCTCAGCCATATTATATAGTCGTTTTAGAGTCAGGGTAAGTCATTACATTTTGATGAAAGATTATGAAGACAAACATGATTTGGAATAAAGTGTAAACACAATATCCTGTACCTTCCTTAAAGTCACAAAACATTTTTAAAAACATATTTACAAAAACTGTAATGCATTTTTTCACTATAATACACGGCATTACACTGACTTTAACTTATGTTTACATGTATCACCAGATAGTTTCATCTCAACAGTCTCATAAATACTCACGATTCACACGTAAATTATACGCGAACATAACGTTACATCTCATACGGGTGTCCTAACAAAGACAGTCCAGATCACACACAAATAATTCGGCTTTTTGCATTAACACAATACTTGCTACTCCTTCATAGACACTATATATTTAAGCATGTATAGCACACAACTAGCGTGCAGTGAAACTGCTCGAAGCATTCTAGTTTATGTAGTGCATCATTAGTTTAGCCGTAGCTAACCGGTTGCCATTGGATTCCATTAGCAAGTGGGGCTAACTAGCACTTTAGCATCATCTCTCGCAGTGGAAATGAAGCAGACAGATGAGCTACTAGCTAGCACACAGACACCACATAACAACTCAAATGTTTCCTTACCCATGGAGTGCTGCTAGTTTGCGATAGATAAATAATCTTACTCGGTTGCTGTTAGCCGAGGCTGTCGTCCCTGCATAGACACTGACGGCGTCTCAAAACCTAGTGAGACGCCTAACGCTACCTAGAAAACTCTGTTGGTTCAGAACGGGCATGTAATGGCCAAAAAATGCTGTCTAGGTTAAAGAGCTCGCTATGTTTTTAAGCCACGGCCATTGTGTCAGACTAAAACAAACTGACCACCGAGCACTGAGAGGGAGCGCCTCCCATTGAAATCCATGTATTATTACTCTGGAAAACCTCCACATAACTCAGGAATGTTTGTTTGTCTATATATTTAATACAAGAGTGTGTTAAACACAATGTTTTAATAATATGATGAAGGTAGATTTTAACCAATAACACTTAAGATAGCAATAATATAATATTAATCAAAATATTATTGGACATCCCAAAAAAACTGCTTTAGTACTTTAAGACTTTTTTTCTTTAATTCGTTAAAGCTGTACAGTCACACTCTTTAGACTTTAGTCTGTACAGCGTTTGTGAACGAATTGCGGTTTATAATGTGTAAAAATGTTAATGTTTTTATTTTTAACATTAAAAAAAAAATCATCGTTAGTTCATTTTCATGTACTGGTTCATATGGTTCGTTCAGGCATCTCTATTTTGAATCGTGTGACTTTCCTGCGTGAACAGCTATTATTACAGTAAAAAAAAATATCTGATGTACATTTTATTAAAAAAATAAAAACATGAAAAAGTGGGTAGAGCTCAAACTATCCACTATTATCGAATCATGAATGCAAAATGCAAATATGTGATAATACAGTCAAGAAGTAGGCTATTTGGCAGTCTATACGAGCCCATAATACATACTACATAACACAATATTTAATTCCATCACTTGATATTTGTGTTGACACATACAGCATGATAACAAAATTTGAACCAGGTGATTTATCTGAAATCAAACAGGCCTTCGATGATAGTGAAGGTTTGAGGCATTAAAATGTGCTTTTTGATTTAAAAAGATGGAGACTTATCAAGCAGTGCCAAAGAGAGGTTGAAGATCAGAGTTTATTGTCTATAGTTTATAGAAATGATGCACAATGACAAATACTATTTCTTCTGAATATAAACATGTTCTTACATTACCCTCAGCGATGATGTCTGTTTTAAAGGACAATGGTAATGACAGTCATAATGGTAAATACACTCCCTCAGATTGCTTTGGGAAACTCTCAAGCTACATTTTACCATGTAATGCATCTATATTACAGTATATTAATCAGCATATTATAAATAATATTGCTTTTTAGTTGGTAAAACAGTTTCCATTTTTTGAAAAAGGCATGTTGAAATTTTGTAGCTGTCATTCTAAGCCTGTTCAAATATGGACAATTAAGAGTTTCTTCTTTTCTCTTTACTTTTTCCATTTTCTGAGGAATCCGCAAGGATAAATGTACAGTATATAAATACAGCGTTGTTGGCAATGTCCTCGGACAGAAATTCACAGACACACGGAACAACACAACTCTGTATGAAGAATTAAAAATGACCCTGGAGAAAATGTTTATATGATCATGAATGTTCATGGGTTACGAGACCCTCCTCCTGGAATTGACACGTCCGATACTGGTGATGCTACTTTTGCGGGACAGAGCAGGTGTCGGGGAGGTGGGTGACGTCTCACTGGGGCAGCCGTGTTGGAGAAGAATCTCAGCACACTCTTTGCTGCCGGCTTGGCGCGCCAACATCAGCGCGGTTCTACTTTGTGGATCCTTTGACTTCACATCACTGCCGTACTGTTGAACACATACAAAATTAAAATAAAATATCCATTAGGAATGAGCAAACAATGCGATACTGAAGTCCAACATTTAAAGGAATGATTCACCCAAAAGAAAAAATTCCTAAAATTCAAATATGAGTCCTCTATCCATAATATAGATTTATAATCTAGTGAAAAAGTCGTCTCAAAACCGATCAAGCACTGTTTAAGAGTGAAAGCAGTCCAAAGACTTTTTCACTGGAGGAAACATTATTATGGAATCGTATTTAAGCCGGAATCAATGGTTTAAAGTTAAAAAGCCTTAATGATGGAGTTGTTTCTTAAAAACACATAGATTTTCACTTCACAAGATATTAATTGATAAACTGGAGTTATCTGATTACTTGTATATTATTTTATCAGCTGTTTGGACTCTCATTCTGACGGCACCCATTCACTGCAGAGGATCCATTGGTGTGCTAGTGATGTATTTCTCCAAATATGTTCCTATCAAGAAACAAACTCTTGGAAGGCCTGAGGGTGAGTAACTTTTCAGCAGATTTTCATTTTTGGGTGAACTATTCCTTTAACTCAAAGAAACCGGCTCAATAACTCACCCAGACCAGCAGCTGTGTCATGACCACGTCGCCCAGCTGGCAGGCCGCATGTAATGCGCTGTGATGCTGCTGCGCGGCTCCTTCAGGCGGGATGTTGATCACTTCCTTGGTGCTGTGCGCAAGGAGCAGCAGAAGTCTGGGAAGGTCTCTGTCAATTACTGCTTTAAGCAACCAAGTCGACATTGTGTCCTCTGAACACTGAGCGGGCAACGGCGACACAAATGCCCGCTGTTCATATTTGGCACGGATCCACGACTCTCTCTGCTCTCTGAGACAAACACAAAGCAAAGGCCAAATTATTATCACAGTGGCTAACCGCATTAGTCATGATCTCTTTACATGTGTGTCACAAAGAAGACTGAAGCACTGCAACCTTGTTTATGTTTTTAGTTAATACTTAAAAAAAAAAAAAAGTCTTAAACAGTCTTGTTTTTTGTTTTTTTTTCCCAGAAAAAATATCTTAACAGATTTAAAAAATAAAGGTATACATTTAGAAGCAAATTAGTTTAAGACTTATATGTAAGTGAATATAATTGAATATAAGTGTTTCGTCTTCCATTAGGAGATTTGTTCACTTGCTTTAAGTATAAAGCACAATTTTATAATTTAATTTAATTTAGTGCAGTACAATATTGTTCAAAAGTTGTTGTTTTTTAAGTCATGATCTCTTTACATGTGTGTCACAAAGAAGACTGAAGCACTGCAACCTTGTTTATGTTTTTAGTTAATACTTAAAAAAAAAAAAAAGTCTTAAACAGTCTTGTTTTTTGTTTTTTTTTCCAGAAAAAATATCTTAACAGATTTAAAAAATAAATGTATACATTTAGAAGCAAATTAGTTTAAGACTTATATGTAAGTGAATATAATATATAATTGAATATAAGTGTTTCGTCTTCCATTAGGAGATTTGTTCACTTGCTTTAAGTATAAAGCACAATTTTATAATTTAATTTAATTTAGTGCAGTACAATATTGTTCAAAAGTTGTTGTTTTTTTAAGTATTTTTTAAAGGAATTAATTTAAAGGTATTACTGTTTTTACTGTATTTGTGATCAAATAAATGCAGCCTTGGTGAGCATAAGAGGCCTATTTCAAAAACATAATAAAAAACTTACCAACCCCAAGCTTTTGAACAGTACTGTATGTATTTATTTACTTTACTTTAACAGGCACTTTGTTGCTCACCTTGTTGCCTCAGGTGTCAACTTTTGGCGCCCTTGGGTGCAGGTTTCCCAAATGCTGTTAGCCATATGGTTGCCTATAGCCGCAAGCACTTTTGTGAGTTCACTGGGCCAGTCGTCCAGGTCTAGCGAGCGCACACGGGACAGGTGCGTCCCCAGGTTCCGGTGTATTCCCGAACACTCGATGCAGATTAAAGCCCCAAGATTAAGACTTGCCCATGTTGGATCTGACAGGAGACATAATGTTTTCATAAACTGAACGATGACAGAGATCTCAACATATAGTAGGCCCTACTCTTTGTTGTTTAGATTTTCATCACAAGGCATTATTTCAGGACCGCACTTACTTGGTGCTCCACAGTCCACACAGAGGTCGTTCCCTTTGGCATTTCGAATGGCCTGCAGGGCAACAGCTTCACTTTGGCTGTTCCTTCGAGCCTGAGAGTTGAAAATGAAGTCTATTATTTTGTAATATTGCAGAGGAAACTGTTCATATGTATAGTATATTGCTGCCTAACATGATTTATGTATGTAGGATGAATCAGCATCTTTTTTTGGTCTGGAAATAAGCAAATTAACCCATTACTGGCCTTTTATTTTAGCAATAGAAAAAAGTTTAAGGAACAGTTCACCCAAAAAATGAAAATATGCTGAAAATGTACTCCAGCTTAGGCAATCCAAGATGTAGATGAGTTTGTTTCCTCTTACAGATTTGGAGAAATGTAGCATTACATCACTTGTTCACCAGTGGATCCTCTATAGTGAATGGGTGCCGTCAGAATGAGAGTCCAAACTGATAAAAACATCACAACACGACTCCAGTCCATCAATGAATGTATTTTGAAGCGAAAAGCTGCGTGTTTGTAAGAAGCTAAAATTTTTCTCAAGTGAAAAAGCCATCTTGTCTGAATCAGGAGAGAAATATGTACAGATCAAGGACTGTTTACAAGTGAAAACAAATTTGTCGGTGGATTTTGATGTGAGGGGACAACAGGACATGGACCTTTTCACTGGAGGAAGCATCAATACAGATGATGGGCTGGAGTTGAGTGGATTACTTTTAAATTATTGTGATGTTTTTAGCAGCTGTTTGGACTCTCATTCTGACGGCACCCATTCACTGCAGAGGATCCACTGGTGAACAAGTGATGTAATGCTACATTTCTCCAAATCTGTTCTGATGAAGAAACAAACTCATCTACATCTTGGATGACCTGAGGGTGAGGACATTTTCAGCAAATTTTAATTTTAGGGTGAACTAGTCCTTTGAAGATTACTGGCCATTGAAAATTTAATGGACCTTTTTAATGGATATTGCACATAAGTGCAAAAGTGTTCTGGAAAGCTCATAAAGTTTGTGCTGTAAATATTTAAAAGATAGTTCTGATACCATCAGGCTGATAGGGATCGGATTCATTTTTAATTGCCCTCTTTACCTTATTTCTGCTTTCACAGCTCTGTAGACTTGCAAGGATCTGGCTTTCGATGGCCTGAACCCAGGCGTCCCTGTCCTCTTGACTTTGGGCTTCAAAATGCCAGCTCTGTCCTGTGCTCGATATGATGATGAAGTCTGCGCTCTCCTCTTCTGTTTGGGCGAGAGCAAGTTATTTACACGAGATCAATAAAAACACCCATCGTGTCCTCAGTCTAATGTATCGTCTCAGTATAATTATGTGTTTGAGAGAGACAGGAACACAGACAGAAACACTCAGACCCAATTGCTGTAATCTAATGATGTGACAAGAGATGGATACGGACACATACTGCAGAAAAGACAGCGAGACAGAGTCAGCTCAGCCCCTCATTTCAAACATTCAGGTTACCTGTTTTGTTAATGTTTCGCAAGCTACCAAAGCTTTTTAATTTCCACATTTTGCGCTTGGCTTGCGGTGCAAGAAATTAGTCCAGGGCAGCAGAGGATAAGAGGAAAGAAAAGAAGAAAAGACAGAGGAAAGAAAGAAGTAAAAGAGATTGTAAAAGGACCTTAGAGAAAGCAATTAATCAGGTCCACATTAGAAAAGAGAGGAAAGCAAATTCACCTCAACTCTTCACCATAATACTAAGAATGATCGCTTAATCAGTGAAACTGGATCATTGTGGCGTCCGGTAATCTTTCATAAATCTGATCTCTTACCCTCAGCCTGCCCAGCCGCCGCGTCTCCTTTCAAGTTAATACTTCTGTTTCGTTTTTTCTTCTTCCTGTCAGTCATTGGAGAAGACGGGATGTGGTCTTTTCCTAAAGGAGGACTTGTAGCCCCCTCAATACTCAAGTCTATTAAGATAATACAAAAAAGTGGCCAGAAATGTCAAAACATTTCCTGCACCAGATTTGTAACCATTCTGATGATAAATACACAGCCAAAATACAATTACATTTGTATTAATTAATAAATAAATAAATAAATATAAATTATTATTTATTACTAAATAATACAATATTATATATATATATA